GAGAGAGAGAGAGAGAGAGAGAGAGAGAGAGAGAGAGAGAGAGAGAAATCAATATTCATAATCGCGGCGTCGCAACATACGCGGCACAGCTGGCGGTTTCCCGCTCGTGTCGCAGGAAAGAGGCGGGGGGAAACCGAAGAAGGGGGAGGGGCCCTAATAACGCGATCGTCGTGAGATACATCAGGAAGGAAATGTCTTGGACGTCCACCGGGACGTCAGTCCGGTATGTGTTCCTGGGAACTTTCCTGTCGCTCGAAAGTGGCAAAATTGGAACGGAACATAGTGTGGAGAGGACAAAGCAGAGATACGAACACTCACCCGAACAAGTCTTCGAGAGGCGTGATGGAGGCCGATTCGCCGCCGTAGTACTTGTTGCGGTCGATGTGCAGCACCCGTTTGCCGCTGACCGACAACATGCCCGATAGGATGCACTCTTTGAGGCCAGTGCCGAGCACGATCGCGTCGTATTCTTCATTCATATTCGCACCGGACGAGAATCACCAGTGACAAGAGAGAATAGAACAGAGAGAAAGAGAGAGAAAGAAGGAACACTCAGTCGGTTGGTGCCTCGCGACTGTCGCGCGAGTCGAACGTCGAATATGTGCGAAACGCGGAAACGCGTTTCTCCCTCTCGAGAGGCTCAGTCCGAGTCTGCGTCAGTGATACGCCTTGCACTCGTCGCGTCCGCTCTCCTCTACGACGTCGTGCGACCAGGGAACGCTGTGCAATCGGTTCCTACGTAGCTATACGCACGCGAGAACGACACGAAGAACGACAGAAGAGCCGGCTCTACGCTTTCACTACTTTGTCGACGAAGACGAGAGATCCGATGACGGCAGCGGTAACGACGATGACGGTTTCGGCGGCCGGACGGTGGCGGTGACAGCGGCGCGACGATACGCGACGGCGCGATGACGTTAACGCTACGTCCAACTTTCCCCTAGAACACGCGCGCTGCTTGTTGGCGCTAGAGATGGGACATCGATAAGAAATAATCGATTATGGCCAATACTCATATGGCTTTTGCACATAGGACGCGGTAATGCTTGTCGCGCAGTGGAAGTCCGCGTAACAGCCAATTAATATGTTGTTTTTCCTTAAGAGCTAGAAGGTTATTACGGAAAGCAGCATATTGATTGGCTGTCGCGCAAACTTCCGCCGCGCGGCAAGCATTACCACGTCCTATGTGCAGGAGCCATTATACAGAATTCACACCGCGTCGATGTCCGACGTACAACATCCGATATTCAATAAAAGAATAGCTTTCCAATGGAGAATTGAATTCTATAGGCCTGTTCTTTGTAGTTGCACTGCTGAACTGGTGCAATATATTGAAGTGAAACAAATATACGTTTTCTCACTCTAACTTATTGCACTAGTTCAGTAGTGCAGCTACAAAGAACAGGCCTTATATTACAAAGCTGTTCTCCTATTGGATGTCGGACGTCGTACGTCGGACATTCGACGCGGTGTGAATCCTGCATTGCCAGAATACATTCATATCACATTTCCACAGGAACACATCTTATGGAATTTGTATATACTTGACCGGAAAAAAAACTCCGGTTGGAAAACTATTCTTCTGTATTCGTATATATTTCTTTTGTAAATCGTTTGTATTTCGTATGAAGAGTTTTGAAATGCAATTGAAAAGATTTGTGAGTCATTCTATTACTTGTAATTAATTGTTCTTTTTTGGACTATGTATTTAGCCAGAAATAATGACCGGAGGTAAATTAAACAAAAGTTCGGTATGGTATCGTTTGTATTTCGTATGAAGAGTTATGAAGTATCATTAAAAAGGTTTGTGAGTCATCCAGATAATTTTAATTAAATATAAAAAAATCATATTTTTCCGAACTAACCTAACCCAATCTATCGTCACATTAATCGTCAGTCATTGTTTATTAAAGTGTTCAACTTTTTTTTTTAATAATTTTTTAATAAACAATGACTAACGGTTAACGTGACGATAGGTTGGGTTAGATTAGTTTTGAGGGGGGTGCGGGGGGCGCAGCCCCTCGCTAGTCGTTCGATATTGCAGTTACATAATGTGATTAAAAGATCAGTAACTTGTTTAAATTGTGGGAAAGCAGCAACGTTCGACAAGTGAAAAAAAAATAAAAAAAAAGTTAAAACAATATATAACTTGCATATTTTTCGGACTTCCCCGATTAATGATCAATATTGGAGTCAAAATAAATTTTTTTATCAAAAGAGCTGCAAAAAAATATCAAAATTCGAAAAAGGCCTTATTGTACATAATTATCCAAAAAAGAACCAGGAATATTGAAATACTAGATAGTACACCGATCTGCCTGATGATACTTTTACAGCAGCGCTTGAGATCGATATTTCGGCCAAATATATGATTTTTTAATACTTAATTAAAATTATCTGGATGACTCACAAACCTTTTAATGATACTTCATACCCCAAGGGTGCGTTCGAAAACACTGAAAGTCCACGACGGAAAGTGGCTGTGGTGGATGGGCTTGGTGGGGTTAGTGGAGTTGGTATCGAGAGGAGTTTTCGAACAGCCATGGAAGAATGCTCAATGTGACATACTACATGTGTGTTGTGCCTACATATGTGTTGTACAAAATGGCTGATCGAAAGCGTATTTCGACATTAGCTATAATTGCTTCTCAGCAAAATAATAATAAATTAATAAATTTAGTAATTAATTAATTAATTAATTTAGTAATTATTAATTTATAATTTAGTTATCTGGAAAGTTAATTGATTATATATTCCTCGGTCCGAGAACTCGGATCGATTTCTAGCATTGTGGGCACCAGGCCTAAGGAAATTTATAAACTTATTTATTACTCCTTACCTTTAACATCGTATATATAGACATTTCCCTTGTCATCCTTTTGTATATTTTTTTAAATATCCATGCATAAAATATGACGACCCGAGATTAAATTTTCCATTTTTTTTCACAAATTGTTACTGATTCGTGACTTTTAACGTGCCTCGTATCTCGTAAGAAAATTTCAGAACCTATAAAATACAAAAAGCTTAATAAGCTTTATTTATATTTAAAGACAATATTCTGACAATATACATCACTATAGAAATAAACCTAAACCTGGCTAACCTACACTGCTGTATTTAAATTTTTTATCTTACCGTGATGGCTAATGGTTGTACGAATGTTTCGAAGAACAAAAAACCATAAATAATTTAGTAATTTCATACTGTATTGCACTCTTTGCGCACTCTCCACCATCTCCACCGATTCACACCGCGCAAAAGAGAGTGGAGAAAAGTCACACGAGTGGTCCACGGAGTACGGTTTTCGAACGGCCATGGTCGCATGGTCAGTGTGCCTACTAGGGGTTTTCGAACGATCTGAGTGTGACAAAATACACACGGGTGATGTTTTCGAACGCACCCCTGCGTTGATCCTGAGTGGTGTTTGGATCCAGTTTTCATGCTCCTGTTTATGTTAGCAGCGGGACGCGTTATCGCATTGAGCGATTACGGTTTCTCTTGTGTACAGTTGATCCATCGATTTTAAGACTCTCTAACACGCAGTATTCAGCGTTATAATTTTAATTATAATATTTAACGTGCGCGAATATACATATGCGCACGTACTTACGTCTAGTAACATAGATATAAAATATCTAGTGGTCTGAAATTAGACAAGTCGGCCTCCGATTTATATTAATATATTATTCCGGAAACTATATCTAGATATTATTAACGTTTCAAAATAAGTCCGGACGTTACACGGTCAATCACACTTATCGATGTCTGCCGCCGACTGATCGTACTAGTGACATCTACTAGAGAATAAAAAGTGCAATAAATAGGCACGTTCAACGGAAAAAGCAAGCAGTGAGCAATTAGCGATTATTGATTCTTACTATTAGATCCCTATTAGATTCGTACCCTAGACCAATTACATTGGCCGCGTTCAGTAGAACAAGTGATCAGTAAGCGCTCAGTGAGCTCTTGCATCTGATTGGAGTATAGTTGGAGATCTAAAAGAATATGCCAAATCATATACAAGAGCTCCCTGAGCGCTTACTGATCACTTGTTCTACTGAACGCGGCCATTGACGAATTGCTCAACTGTTGTGCAACTGTTTAGTTCGCTGAACGCACCCATTGACTTGGTTTACATCGTGCACTTGATACGCGTACTAAATAGTAACTTTCTATTAGATAATCTTAATATTGACAATGCATATCAACGGCGACGCATTCAATCAATACAATACGTTTTGTTGATGAGTATTAGGGCTATCGCACACAAATTGACATAACTGCATATGCATAGCATAAGACCGTATGTACCAATCAACATCGAGTATTAAGTCGCCATATTGGTGTTCGATGCTTAATATTCGATGCTCATTGGTCCATACGATCTTATGCTATGCATATGTAGTTATGTCAATTTGTGTGCGATAGCCCTTATACCAGCTTAATATACCGTTGTTTATATATATTGTCGATATTAAGATTATCTAATAGAAAGGTACTATTTAGTACCCGTATCAAGTGCACGATGTAAACCAAGCCAATACCTTTTGTTGATGAGTATTATACCAGCTTAATATACCGTTGTTTATATATAGGATGAGTTATTTTAATCGAACCAGGCAAATATCTTGAAAAATATGGAAGATACGGAAAAATATCTCAAACAAAAGTTGTATGGTTCCGAGAGGGACATAAGATGGAGCCTGGATTGACCCTGGATAGTCGTTTGAAAGTCACGTGAAGGTTACCTTCAATTTCTTAAATGGAAACCTCTATTTTGCATTGCATATTCTTGTAGCTTACCTCGAAAGCTTTCTAAAACACTATAATAAAATATTTTTCATTAAGTATCTTTCGAATTAAAAGGCTTCAAAGTTACAATATTGTTGCCATTAGCATTGGTACCCAAGGTGTTCGACCGGGATGTATATCAGTTGGACACGGGGCAATTGGACACAGTCCAATCACAAGTCGCTGTTCCAAGGGACCCTACAAATGTCTCTAATCACACGGTGCTGTGATTGGCTGTGTCCAAATGCACTGTGTCCAAGTGCACCGCTCCCGTTCGACCGACGGCTGAAATCTTTTGAATGTTGTTCAGGGTCATAACCTTGACAACATTTGTCAAGGTCAAGGCGATTGGAGGCTGTTCCTAATATTTCCATTTCTTTAAATTTTACAGTGAAAACAAAAATAATAATTTAAAATCATGGAATAACATGTGGAGTCCGATTGACTCTAAAGGATCATATGAAGGTCACAATGCTTCGTCGGGGCCACAAAGAAGCACACGTGTGAAATCCTATTAATAAACTTCTTTAATAATCATAGCATTGTGATCTTCATATGATCCTTTAGACTCTAAATTTTATAGTGTTTTGGAAAGCTCTCGAGGTAAGCTACAAGAATATGCAATGCAAAATGAAGGTTTCTATTTAAGAAATTGAAGATAACCTTCACGTGACTTTCAAACGACTATCTAGGGTCAAACTAATGGCATCATCTTATGTCTCTCTCGGAACCATACAACTTTTGTTTGAAATATTTTTCCGTATCTTCCATATTTTTCGAGATATTTGTCTGGTTCGATTAAAATGACTCACCCTGTATATCTTCGATATTAAAATTATCTAATAGAAAGTTACTATTTAGTACGCGTATCAAGTGCACGATGTAAACCAAGCCAATACCAACGTAGAACGAGAAAAAAGACAACGACCGCAGAGAGAATCTACCCAAATAGAAAAATGTGTTCATTCTGAGCTCATATTGTAAAAGCGATTGTTTTCATTTGGATGACCTTGGTTGAGCAGGTGAATAAGCAATAACTTATTGATTGTCTTTGTCAAAATAACGGTAGATATATTACAATGTCGTTGCTGATAATCCCTCCTTGCCAAAGACTT